TAATTCGTTTACGACTTGCAAAACGAGCCTTCTGGGAGCGCGCAACTGGTAGCCAAACAGTTTGCACGACGTCACGCACCCCCGTGGCACGTCCCAAGGGTGCTACTGACGAAGTAAAATCCCGCAACGAGCGATGGTTTTGCGCCGACGGATCTCCATGGTGGAGAATTTCAAACTTCAAAGAATTTAAATGACGTTCGATGATCTTCTTTAGAAATTATTTTATATTATATTTATAATTACTCTTCTTAAAAATTATGTAAATTTTTGAGAAACCATTTTTGAGTGCCAATGTATCCTATCCATAGAATAAATTTTACAGTTATCACTCTACAATGAATATTTCATATCCTTGTGGAATATCATTGTGGAATGATAGATAAATATTCCATTATAATAATATTTAACTGTATGTTTCTTTAATATATTTGAATATTATTAGATTATATTATAGGTAAAAAATTATGAATTTTCGATAATGGCAATATCCATCGATAATCTTTTTAATTTTATTATATACTACGTGCATGATATTTGTTAGCTTATAAATTAGTAATATTTATTTTAAAATTTATTCACGTTTTATTTTCTATTTATTACGAGTATATTAATATATTATACATATAATTATAATTTTATAAATCAGATAAAGAAAAATTGAAGAAAGAATGTTAATGAATGTATGCTCTATATACGAAGATAAGATTACATTGTATGTGTTCCTCTCTTTCACTCAAAAAAATGTCTTGCTGATATAGGTAGATTTCTAGGTGTCACAACAAAAATTTATCGCTATTTTTTGTATCTGTTAGAATATTGTCTGTTACATATAGAATTTATAGCAGCAACATTCTAATAATATCTTCTAGAAAATTTAGGTCCCATTGCCAAATGTTAATCACTGCATTGGATAAATATGAGTTTCGATACTACAGAACGATCTTTGTGAGAAATATAACTGCCAATTATAACTGCAGCATCGAAAAATTGAGAAAAATTGTTTAAAAGAGCTAGATAGATTGAGCGCGTTATACAAATATGTTAGACGTGAGGATTATATATTCATTTGTTTCTTGCCGCTAATTTTTTCTGTCTACCACAGCCAAACTTTATAACAAGTATGATTGGCCTTAACATGGATAGGCGCCACAGAAAAACATTCTTTCTAAATTTCACAAACAGTTCAGATATAAATTCTGTCTCTGTCACTTAGATTGATTAAATGCGAAACATATGCGATATCACAGTATTTGCTAATCATTTATGTACCTCAGTTAATTTTGCGCACCAAGAAAATTTTTGCTGTAGTTGCAATACCACTTTTTTGAGTGTACGATTATTCTCACAATACTTTATGAATTATCTATGCTTTGTCTTCACAAAATATAATACTTTAAAAAATTATATGGAGATACATTTTTAAAGTTACAATTAAATATTCGCGCATGAGAGAGCGTTAGATGCGCGGCGCATTCGTTTTGATACAGAGGAAAAACGAAAGGAAGGAAGTCGCTGCACCGTAACGACTGATGTTTCCGTTTGGAGCAGCGGCGGCATAGACGAAAACTCGTCGGCGGAATAAAAGTTCCACCGGTGCTTCCACCGGAAGCAGCAGCCGTTGCGCCATTATCTATTTCGTTTTTCATTCACATAAATTTAAATGTGGAGCAGTTCAGTACGCGCCTCCAACCCGATGATCTCTCCCTATCTTCTTGCGGGTGATCGATATAAAATTGCAGTGGAAACAAGGCGGCGCGCAACACAAGCGGTGTTGTTTCGCGTTCCCCGGAGGGATCTGATTGCAAACGAATGCGGCGGGGTTACGATCTCTCCCTTCATAGACGATTAATCCAGTTTACTCGCAGACGTTACCTCGCCATGGGGTTCTTGTAAGCCGAGAATCCGCACAAACGTTCCTCCCGCGCTTAAATATATTCAATTACGAGACTCAAACCTATGCGCCTCGTCGTCTCTCAGTCTGTCTCTCTTCCTTACACTCTCGCTGTTTTCCACTTTCGTTCATTCGCATGACTGAAGTCCCGACTTTCCACTTCCGTTTTGGACTCTTTTAAGGATACGGATTTATGCGCTGACGATCCCTCCGGTAAATTCTTTGGTAGAATCGGCGAGTTTACCTTACAAATAATACGAGATACGCACTTTTTATCGAATCTTCTACGATTGAAAAGTGTCTATTGCATTCACTAGTTCAATATCAATCGTGTAAAGAATTTTACTTTTAATTTTTATAATAAGAAAATAATATATGTATATAATATATATAATACATATATAAGAGGATACGTAATGCGAATCATACTTTAAGTCTTAAAGCAGGATAGCCGCATATGAATAAAGAAATTAAATTTTTAATGACATAAACTATGTACATAAACTTAATAAAATCAAAATAGGATATTTTTGTTCTGTGCTATAATATCTATTAATTATACTTTGATTAGAGTGTTTGATTTCTTCTAATAAACGCATCAGAAAATTGTGCATCTTTCAGACAAGTGTGAAAGAGATAAATATAAAAAGGAAAATATATCTTACAATATATATATTTTTTATATAAAATAATATATAATAGTTTTTGTCGTTAGAGAGCTTTAATAATGTGTTGCCGAATATGGAAAGCAGAATCAAAGCTTTCGACAGTCTCGCGTGAAAAGTCGAGATGTCGCGATTCCACGATATTTCCCGATGTTTTCCATTGCCAGGCCGACATGCCACCAGGGTTAGATGATAGAGCAAGAATAGAAAACGTCGGATATAGCGAAAACAACGGGAAAGAGAGAGAGAGATATATATATATAGAGAGAAAGAGACAGATTGAGAGAGAAGAGGGTCACGATATAGGGGAGAAGATGCAGAGCGAGAGAGGAAAAGAGAGTTAAGCCTGCAGGCTGCAGACAGAGGCACTAGAGTAGCGGCGAGCAGCGGTAGCAGCAGCGGCGCAAAGCGAAAGCAGGAGGGAGACAGGCATCTCGCCCTTCTTTTGTCCCTGGGCTTCGGCCCGATATTGAAATGGAGTCGTTTGAGTGTGAATAATTTGCTTTGCCCGGGCCCACCCCTCCACCGCCGCCGTCGTGCCGTCCCTCTCTCCTTTGCCGTTCTCGGCCCGGCGCGACTACCACCGTGATCGGCCCCCCCCCTCGTGTACCCTCGCGGTCCCCCCGTCAACCCCTGTGCAGTACCGGCGCGTTTATTTCGCGTCGCGTTGGAGAGAACTTTGCGATTTCCGTAGTCGCGGATCGAGCTCTTTTTCCACCGTCTTCTACATCGGACTCGCGTAGGACCGAGTTCTTAGAGTAACGCGTTAATGGAGAGCGATGTCTGGAATACATCTTGTTAAAACCCTATTTGCACGAAGAAGGATTTAAAAGCAGATCATATGCAAAAAATATATACTTGGAAAAGATCTAAGAATTATATTTTTTACAAGTTAAATAATTCTATAATTTCAAAAGAATTAATAAAAAAAAGCATGAGATTGAACAATATTATTTTAAAAAAGATTAGGGAACAAACTTAATATTATTTTAAGAGATTTAAGAGATTTGATACTAATTCACGAATGGAATTTACTTGTTTTGCTCGTACTTAATAAACATTTTAAGTATGATATAAGATCTTATAAGATCATAAAAATTATTGTATTATCTTGGACCACACAATGATAATTCTTAAAAAATGTTATCAGAGTTACTAAATTTTGTCTGTCAAAAGTTTGATGTATAGTCTTGATTAGAAGTCTCTTTTCGTACGAACGATGTGAACGCCGATCGGAGAGATCGTTTTACGCACGTATTTTTCGAGGTGAGAGAGAAAGAGAAAAACAGAGAGATATCGGTCATTATAAATTCCAAAGTATTGTCGCGATCGATCGATCGAGCGACCCTGGTGCATCGGGCGGTTCCATTCCTCATTTCTCGGATGCTGGTCAGATCGGGTACGCCGGTGAATTGATTAGCGCGAATCATCGTCACGCGCCGCGCCGGCGAAATCCATGCGTCGAATGGGCGACACGTACGACACGCATGCCACGCATGATGAGTCGCACGGTCGGAGTTAAAATTACATCGACGTAATCGTCGCATAACGCAGTCTTGCTCCGACCCGTAAAATATGTTAAGTAACCCGATCATCGGTCACGGGTAATGAATACATCGATGATGGATTAGATGAGCCGAGGACGTTTTTCTTAAAATTCAAATGATTATGCAAAATTGAAGCATTTCTATATGATGCTCGGTAATAACAGACGTATTTTGGCGAACATACGATATGCTCATTGGAAATTATAATGAGTCTAGCTGAATGAACATATCTCAAAACATTAATGATAACATAATATGAATAATAATAAATCTCTCATCCTACAATTAATTTTAAATAGGCTTTATTTTAATAGAATTTGGATATTTTGAATATTTTACTTTCAAAATATGTGACTCGTGCTTTTTTTTTTGAAATAAAACATTTATTTAATATTTTAAATCTTGTAATAATATTATATTGAAAAAATTCAATAAATGCATTATAAAAATATTTCATAAAAATGCATTTGTATACGTTTTCACCGTAATATGGCAAAAGTGGTATAACAAATGCAAGCATACACGCTTCGAATCTTTTCTATATTTCATCATCGATAGGACAGAAGTACGATTGTACGACCGGAACAAACACACAATACGCGAAAAAGCGCGAAAGGTGAATTTTTCGAAGTTGTGGAAGACGAAGAAATCGGTCGTACATCGAGCATTGAAGAAAGCCGCTTTTGTCGAAAAAGGCGCCCGCTCGCCGACAAAGACGAAGGTGAACGCGCGCGAGCGACCGGATGATGAGCCAACAATAAAATTGAGGATTCATCAGTCTTTTAAGAGGCCAATGTCATTCGTCGACCGGTGAACGCGCGCCGCGCTACCCTGAGCCGCGTATCCTCCTTAGATATGCAGAACACGGGACACGGGTGTATATAATCCACCAGCGGCGGGCATCGGAGTTCAGTCAGCTCGTCAACACAACCACAATCGCCAACCACCATCGTACAACGATGAAGGTAGTCATCGATTCGACTGTAGATATTTTATCCAATTGATAGAGAGAATCAGATTTTAATTGAAAAATTTGCGATTTATGTAAACCTTTTTGCAGATAATATCGATTAATTTATTGCAATAGTATATATTCTGCCGATTGATTTGATTCTTCGAAAATAGGTATTCGTCAACATTGTCCTTTTGGTCGCGGTGGTCCTCGCGGAACCGCCGAGATACCGCCAGCAATATCAGCAACAGTACTACTTTGCCCGGCAGCAGGAGGAGGCCGCGCCTTATCCCGCTTCCGGCTGGAAGCCAGCGGGACCAACTTTTAATCTTCCTCAAAGACAATCTCAACAGCAATACGGAGCGCCGGATGCGCCTCAGCAGCAGTATGGAGCGCCGGACGAGCCTCAGAAGCGATACGAAGCACCAAGTGCACCTCGGCAACAATACGGAACGCCGGATGTGCCTCAAAAACAATACGGAGGGCCAAGTACGCCTGAACAACAATACGGGGCGCCGACGGGTCCCCAGCGAGAATACGGAATACCGGAAGAATCCACAACAACTGAGGCGCCTAACACCACCGAAGAGGAGGAGGTGTCCACCGTTCGAGGCATCACTGAATCAGAGGTGAGTAAAGCATAAATATTATTTTGCGAGTGTCGATCGATCAAAGTATTATGAAACTTGAAATAATATGAAGAAAGTCCATTTTCCCAATTAAATATTTTTATTATAAAAAGATTTTTAAACTCGTGGAAAAGGAATCGAAAGAAAGTGCGTGACATTTGACGTTTGCGATTTAAGAACGTAGTTGACTATTTTAATTGTTAAATATGTATAAACGAGATTTCTAAGAAAATTTGTGTAACGGATTAATTAATCACAATTTTAACTAGATTTAGACTTTTAATTAGATATTTTTACGGAAAAGTCGCAGAGAAAATTTTGATGCTTTAACGCGCCAAGTTCCAGATGCCAGACGTGCGCGTTCTCCGATTTTACGTAACATAGATTTATCATCTCGTTTCGGAGAGGAACGCGCTGAAGCATTGCCGTTGGCATGTGAGCCTACATAAGAACGTGGAGACGGTTCCACGGAATTTAAATCACACCGACACGACACTACGAGGCTCCTCTCTTTTTCAATCTTCGACGCTTGCTCGTTCTCGTCGTTTCTCCCGCTTATCCTAACGACATTAGTATTCGAGGCGTCGTTTACTTTCGATCGCGAGTCTCAAGCACGTGTGTGCCCGTACCAAATTCGAGGACTGGCGTGACACAACCCATAATGCATTCATCCGTGATTCGAGGTCGTCTGCGAGTCTACGCTGCCTTCTGTTTGACGGGATATTAAAAAAAAAAAATCCGAGAAATCTGCATTTAACAAGAAATATTTGTCAATGGCTCCTTTTATTTTTAACGTGTTTACTTTGAAAATTTCTTCAGTAAATAATTTATTCTTTGACCTCGCATCAAACCTTCTTTCGTGCCATTTATGATTAATTTTTTAACATACTTGACAGAGCAACAAATTTTAAGAAACCTTGCTAAAGAATCTGCAATTACAAATGATATATTGACATTACAGAAAATAGATTTGAATTTTTGCATATGCATTTTTTTCGTAATTAGATATTCTCTCTCTCTCTCTCTTTCTCTCTCTCTTGGTTTCAATATTTCTATCAATATATTCTATATATATATTTTCATAAACACAGTTAAAATACATTTTACATACTCTTTCCTCTCTTTTCTTTTAATTAGAGCATGTAACGTAATATCGGTCACCGGTGATCAGCGACTGATATAATATAAAGGTAAACAATTACGTAGAAATAAAACATTATTCTCTCAGTCCGAGCCCGTGAACGCGGTGAACGAGCTTGAGGACGATGATGTGGACGAGAAGCAACCTCAGCAATCCGGAGAGTACTACGTGGCCCTTCCCGACGGTCGTCTCCAACGTGTGCAATACATTAGCCGCCAAAACGTCGAGGCCATGAAGTACTTCGCCAAGATCCGAGCCGAGAACGTGGAACCCCTTCGCGGACCGATCTACGCGTACGCGCCCCTGCAGAAGCTGCAGATCGTGCCGGCTGGCTTGCAAGTGTCCGTCGCCCCGGTCGCCCCGATCGCCGCCGAGGTCGCACCTGCGGACGCCAGGCCGCAGAAACTCGAGATCGAGCCTGTGGCCGCGCAGGTGCAATACCAGTACGACAACCCCTCGAGCGTGGTGCCTCTGACCAACCCTCTGAGCAATGCCTACACCACCTACATGACGAATTATCAATCACCGGCAGCCAATAGCGAATCCAGATTCCTCCTCACCTTCCAGTGAATCGGAAATAACATAATTAAAGTTTTAAAAACCTTAAACTCGACACTACGACACCTTGTAAATTGCATTGTACATGTCGCATAGATTATTGAATGTACTCGCAATTAGTCTAAACTGACGATGTAATAAAGCTGATGCTAACGAAACTTTCTATTATATTTTCATGTCGCTTTAACTTTGTGATCATAGAACTATTTTTCACTCCAAGATTATGTTATACAGTGGTCATCATCTATTTAAATATTGTGCTCTTTGACTTTTCATACATTTTTCACGGATGTAATAGCTAGCGAATACCCTTGAAAAAATCGTAGAGAGATATTATAATGAGATTTAATAATCAATAACTGATAATCCTACAAGAATTTTTATTTGTGAATATTGTTTTAACCGAGATTCGCTATTTTACAGCGAAATTAAAGGAATTTCTTCAGTAGATGTATTGATGCGAGAGAGAAGGAAAGAGAGAGAGAGAGAGAGAAAGAGAGAGATCCGTTGGCATGTAGACGTGCCTAACCGCAAAATTCCAGAAATTTAATATCTCGCTCGGCGCAACCGGCAACAGGGTTGGGCGTTTCATAAGTTCACTCCCGACACGGCCAATCCCCCGTCAGAATTCTCCCAAAATTCTACAGCGAGCGTTCCAACCCACACACATCCACATACACAAACACTTTTCCTCCCCTCTTTTCGGCACACTCCGTTATCTCTCCCTATTCTTTCCTCCTTGCTACAACGGGCGTTGTGCGTCTTGAATGTTCTTTGCCAGTGGCTCATAGCGTTTTGAAGGAAAACGAAAATCCCAACAGAATATTTACGCTATCATTTCGAGAGATACGTTTGGATCGTGTCGCGATTTGACTTGAAATAGATCTGAAATTTTGCAAATTCGCAATAATTTCCTTTTGTAACTATGACACCGCACGCTCTCATGATATATTTTATATTATTTATGCAAAATGCAGGGATTTTAAAAAATACATAAAAATGTATAATAATAAAAAATCAAATTTATCGCAAGATAAATAGCGTGTAAATAATACGGTTAGCAACTCTATTGAATAAGAAAAAATTAGCGTACAATATCTTAAAAACAATGAAAAAGAATCGCAATTCTAATCTGCAGCTCCAACCTTCGCCAAGATATCTCATATCAGGTATAATTATGCCTGCCAAGTTTTAGCGGAAACTTTTAATTAAGGTTCACCGGCAACAAACCACTCTTAAGAAAGCCGTACCATCGTCGGACCGAACAAAGGAATACCCTCCGGCAGCTCGGGGTAAATAGCCCGAAGAAGCACAAACATCCTCGCCAAGATTTCGTCGATAGGCGCAATCGGCCGATTAATTAATCCGGTCAAGCGGTCAGGCCCAATTAAATCCCACTAGTCGGCCGAGCCGTTTCCGTGCTTGGGAACGCGACCTCGCTCTTACAATTAGACGAGTTTTTTCATCGGGAATTTGACTCGCAAGAGATGCGACTTAATCCCTTTGCGCGCTTTCTTCGACCATCAGATCACCTCTCCGCCGAAAAACGGGAGAAATCGCTCTTTTGGAAAACAAAATTTCTTTCACCTTCCCATTTGCCGCTCCTCGCACCATCGCCATCCGTCGTTTTCTCGCTCCTCTACACCCCGTCGAGCATGGAAGCGTCCCCGAGAGCCAACCAGCCGGTGCAACCCTCCTTTCCACGGGATATTAATTTTTCGGGAAGTTGTACCGCCGTGTGCCATTCCTTTTTTTCTGCAACCCCTCTTACTCTCTTTCCTTTCCTTCCTCTCGCTCGACAATTTGTTCTTCCTTGACGATTTAGGCTCGGGACGAGTATCCGCGAATTTTTCTCTTAGCTTTTAATATGTAACGAAGAAGATTTTGATTGAAGAAGAGTCTGTCGACTACATTGTTCCAGTATCACCCAATGATATTTTAAGAACAACTACTAATTTTTGAAAAAAAAAATTTGATGAAGATGTTGAGATATCGGATAGATTTATATATAAAAGAAAATAAATCAAATATTTTTTGCAATTTACATTTGGATTATTAATTTTTTCACTATGTTCGATTTTTTCCGAATAATGCTCGCATTTTTAAAAGAAAATTCTAGATAATCCTTCGGCCGAGTGCAGTATCGAAATAAAAAATCTACTTCCATAATTTTTTCGCCACTCGATTACAACGTCGTATAAATGAGTTTTTTATAAGCCTTATATCAGCTAGATAATATTTCGCGATTTCTTTCAGTAATCTTGTTCCATGTGCAACATGAAGCATGGATAGAGGAGAGAAGATTAACTTTCATAATCCGTCGAGAATGTAATACGTATATCTCTATTGGAAGTTTTGCACGTCGCTTGTATCTCATGTAAGGTATCATCAATTTCACCGTAACAATCGTTTCAAAGAACGAAATCAAATGGATAGTTATTTTATAAAAAAATATTATAATATTATAATATTATATTTTTTTATAAAACAACTCTTTGTATAAAGTGTAAGTACTTATATATCTATATAGGACTAAGTAAAAAATAAATAAAAAATAAATTCAGATGTAAATCTAGATAATTTCTTTTCGACACGTGTTATTAATAAATTTATGTGATAATTTTTTAGCAAAAAAAATCTCTATCCTACGTAACGACAACGTTCACGGCGGAGCAGAGGAGAAAAGAAAAGTCAATTTCGGCGACCGGCCTCGACTGTGATCGGCGAGGAACAAAGGTTCCAGGAACGCGGCTGAATCGACTGTGAGAGACGATTATAGTTTCAGAGCACCTGAGGAGAGAGTCGCGACGGAAAAAAATGGAGGAGAGAGGGACGTTAATAAAAATGAATTGGAGAAGGAACGAGAACAAAGAGGGAGAAACCGCGACGGAAGAGGGTAGGGTAGTTATAAGAAAAGACGCTGAGAATCACACAGCGATGACATCTGTTCCTGTAATGGTGGAGGACGTCGATTACACGTCTACGGGGGTAGCTTTCTCGCGGCTTGGAGAGAGATGGTGGCGATTCGCGTGTATTTTTGCATATGTGAGCGTGGACACACACCGCGGACCGCCCGCTTGTTTGTACGGTGCCGGATTAAGAAAATAGCGGGAGGCTCCCGTGGCGTCGGTGGGAACGCGGCCAAGCCGATGATGTCCTTCCTCAGGTTCTCATGACTCGGGAGGGAAGAAATACGAGCATTTCATATGCATGGTCGGTTCAAAATAGTTAGCTTGGATGGCGATAAAATATTTGCACACCGTGATGTAGCATTGCAATGTAATAAAGTTTGGGAGTTTTCTTTCACATATATGAACAAAAAACTCGCTTCTGTTTCTCTCTCCTTCTTTCTCTCTTATGATATAAGAAACGAAAAAATTTTGAAATATTAATATTGAAGAAAATAATCTTGGTCGTTTTTTAAATGTTAAATATTTTTATGTGGATGCAGAAACTTTTCTTTTGCCTTATTTTATATGTTATTTATTCTTAAACATTTCCCGCGCATTTCGTCTGTAAATTTACATCATCCTTCGCTCTTTAAGCTTCTCTCTTCACTTGAGGATTCTCCGCGCGACCCCACGCAGCGCGGGGGGTCGCAGAGACAACAATAAAAAATGGAAAAACAACGGAAGAGAAGAGGAGAGGAAAAATACTGCGTGGCTGTGCGTATGCATTCTATACGCGAGTGCACTACCATCGACGGTGATTGGAGATCCCCCGTCGACAAGCACGTCGAACTCTTTCCGGCTCTTTCGAAGTCGGCACCTGCTTTCGTTCGATCGCAACGACGACGTCGTCAACCTTTGTGAGCCTTCTTCCTTGTGTGTCAACGTATCCCTCGCAGTTTTCACGAGCTGCATATATCGCTCGTACATATGTATTCGTACATATGTATGTATATGTGTGTGGATATGTGCGCGTAGCGATGGCGAATAAACGCATTGCGTCACAGGGCATGTCGATATTGAATCGGGAAGGGAGTACCGAAAACAATGAAGCACGCTATGACGAGGAGAAGCTCGCTCTTTGTTTAATATCGCCGAATTAATAGAAATTCAACGAAGGAAGGGGAATACGGTGTCTACAGTTATTGTTGTTGCAGTGATGTTTCATGCAAAGCAGATTGCATATATCAACCATTGGTTGAAAAATATGAATATAAATTTAAAAAATTTGCATAAAAATTAATTTTATATTTATTTTATATTACAATATTCACAACTTTATACTTTACAATTCTATTCAATTATTTTATAGAACGACAAAAGTGTTTTAGAATAAATTCTGTTTATAAAACGATTATGAAACTGCTATGACAACTATATAAATTAAAAAAAAATAATTCTCTCTTTAAGAAATATTTTCCTTTCTAAAATGAAAAAAGTGACTTATACCGACCGTACTGCCGAACGACAGTATTAGGTCGATCGTGAAATAAAATGATATAAAATTCTGCACGCACGAGGAGCATAATTCAATCGACAAGTAGCGCGCAATAAACGTGAGTGCGCAATGCTGAAACATTATGCAACATTATGGGTGATTGATCGGCGAGCTATAATCTTGCGTAACTCATTGTTCGTCGATTATGTATGACCATACGTCAACGTATTTTTCTCTCTTATTTTCATAATTTTATATCTATTAAATATTATTTTAATCACATACTTGAATCGAATCTCTTTCTCTCTCCCTTCATTAAAACTTCTAAAAGTTATTATTAATATCGAGTTGAGATAAGGCAAGATTTGTTTGCTTGTTAAATTAATCCAATTGATCTGATTCAACTCAGCAACTTGATAACAATTATAATAAAATGATTTTTTAATAAAATTTTATAATAACACAAACTGTTATTATATTATTGTATGGAAATTCTCTATTTATATGTATGTTACTTTTTCCTAATTTTTTAATTTTTCAAAATATCACATAAACTGAATGATCTGGCAGCATACTGTCAACAGATTTTCAGAAATACAATCTTGATATATTTTAACAAAAATATATCTTTAATATTATCCTTTATTTCATCGCTCGATAAGTCGAATGCACACATCAAATTTGGATGGATTGCGAGAGACGCGGTAAAACTGTCGAATGAATCTCTCGATTCCGAGAGACTTATAACAAATTTCGCAGACGCGTTTACCGT